AGGTAAGCCAGCCTAGAGGTGTCGAGGAGCCTGTCCTAATCTATGTAAAGCAGGAAGGGTGATCACCTGGTATTCACAAGATTCATCTGAGCTCTAAAGATGTGCAGGTTATTCCATGAATGAGAGACTCTGGAAGAACACTCGGCTGGTGCTGGCAGAGTTTGAACTTCCTGGTGGAAGTTGGACCAGCCCAGCCTGCAGATGTGTACATAACTTCCCAATGCCTACTGGTGGGTTTGAACAAATCCCATGAAGATATAAATCAGCTAACACTATAAAGGAGTGTCATGAAGGCCAGGGGAAGATGCTGGTGCAGTGGGTCTGGCCACCACAGTGGCAGGCAGGAAGGTTTGGAACATCTGACTGTGAATGTAACATCTGAATTCTACAGTGTTATCCATCATGATGTCGATTTTCCCTTACCTTGTTCTGGAATAAGTCTCTCATGCATAACAAGTCGATACTCTAATAATGATTTAATTAATGGTTTTCCAATTTCCTTAGGAAAGAGAAATTAAATTCGTTAATTAAAGAGGGAAAATGAAGGAAAGAAAAAACAAGTGGATTAGCTAAGATCTCACAGCTCAGTGACACCTGACTTGAGATTTTTGACTTAGTAAATGGACCAAAGGAATGTATCCTGATGTCTTCTCTCCCTGTATCAGCTTCTTTCCACTCAAAATGTTGGGGTGACCAGCAGGATTCTTGTTTTTTTTCTGGTCCTTTAAGAAAGCAAAGGGCAATTTTTTGTACACAAATGTTCATAGTAGCATTATACGTAATAGCCCAAAGTGGAAACAATCTAAATGTCTGTCAACTGAAGGATAGTTGAACAAAAAGTGGATATCATACAATGCAATATCATTCAGTCATAAAAATGAATTAAGGTCTGATACATACTACAATATGGATGAATTTTGAAAACATTATGCTAAGATAAAGAAGTCAGTCCAAAAGACCACATTTGTATGAATCCATCTGTATGGAATAGAGTAGAATCTATATGGAAATGTCCAGAATAGGCAAATCTATAGAAACAGAAAGTTGATTATTGGTTGCCTTGGGCTGAGGAACTTAGGGGTGAGGGGGTGATACAGGGTTACTTTTTTTTTTTTTTTTTTTTGTGGTACGCGGGCCTCTCACTGTTGTGGCCTCTCCCGTTGCGGAGCACAGGCTCCGGATGCGCAGGCTCAGCGGCCATGGCTCACAGGCCCAGCTGCTCCGTGGCACATGGGATCTTCCCAGACCGGGCACGAACCCATATCCCCTGCATCGGCAGGCGGATTCTCAACCACTGCGCCACCAGGGAAGCCCAGGGTTACTTTTTTTAAAATTAATTAATTTATTGTTGGCCGTGTTGGGTCTTTGTTGCTGTGCGCGGGCTTTCTCTAGTTGTGGCGAGCGGGGCTACTCTTCGTTGTGGTGTGTGGGCTTCTCATTGTGGCGGCTTCTCTTGTTGCGGAGCACGGGCTCTAGGCGTGCGGGCTTCAGTAGTCGTGGCTCGTGGGCTCTAGAGCACGGGCTCAGTAGTTGTGGCTTGCGGGCTCTAGAGCGCAGGCTCAGTAGTTGTGAGGCACGGGCTTAGTTGCTCCATGGCATGTGGGATCTTCCCGGATCAGGGCTCGAAACTGTGTCCCCTGCATTGGCAGGTGGATTCTTAACCACTGCGCCACAGGGAAGTCCCCAGGATTTCTTTCTGAAATGATGAAAATGTTCTAAAATTGACTGTGCTGATGGTTTTGCAGCTCTGTGAAAATACTAAAAATCATTGAATTGTACACTTTCAGTGGGTGAATTGTATGTTAACTATATCTCAACAAAATGGTTAAAAACAAGTAAGGAAAGACGATTAGTAAGATGTGGGGTGTTGTCGATGGGAAGCCTCAGTTTTTTTTGGACTTCTCGGCATAGTCCTGGGACCAGAGCTGAGTGCCAGTGCAAGGGGTGAAGGAGAGAGCCTGGACTGGACACACTGGAGGCTGAAGCCAGTAGGCATTCAATAACTGAATGAACAAGTATTGAAATTCCTGCCTCTTTGTTAAGGCCCAATCAGTGAGGAGGGAGAGTAAAGAGTTTGGCTTAAGTCTTAGGATTTGGAGCTGGGAAGCATTTCTGAGGGTGGCCCAAAGCAATTTTGAAGTAAGGTTTTAATAGAACCAACACTACTGTATATTCACACATCTCTTACTCCTCAGAGAGTACTGCCTCTGGGGCCTCATTCGAGGTCTTGGTGCTGAGGGGTTGAGAGGGGGAGGCCTTCATTTGGTACCCAACATGGAAACCTGGAACGGGAAACCAGCTGCCCTGAGAAATGTCATCTCCCATTGTAGCGTGTGGCATTATAAGTTAAACGTGAGATTTCTCCAGCAGCAAAGCTCACCAAACACTGAAATGAGTCATCTCTGGGAAGATGTGGAAACCTTTATGTATGAGGACACATGGGAATTAGATACAATGCATTATGAGACTGGGACATGGATTATTTGGCCTCTGGAAAGCCCGCGGTCAATGGAGGCTGCAATTTCACCTGCTGAGGGATCAAGTTTACGTGTGGTCTAGTGGGATGAACACAGTCCAATGGGTCATTTCACTCAAGTTTTAAACCGGCTCTTGCTACATTAATTTGTTGGGTTATGCTAGGGCAAGACACTTGCATCTACAAATCTGGTATAAAACTCTGCGCAAGGACTGGTTTTGAAAGAAATGGTGAAGCCATCCTGTGCTTTCCCCATCACCCCTGTACTTCAATTCAACTGTGCTGATGCCCAAGTGCCAGTGTTACCCCAATCTAGTCCCTCCCCCTGTCTCTTATTAAGCTGGCTGGTAGAGAAGCTTCAGGAAGAGAATGGCTTAGGCTAAAACCTTCTGATAAACAAATTCATGCTAAGATATGTGTGACTAAGAGTTATTTAATGTGTTGCAATTTAAGAAAGGAAGTCAGTTACCTTAAGGAACAATTTAATGAACCCATACCTCATGACAGTGGAATTTTTTGTTTTGTATTTGTTTTAGGTGGCTGGGCTTTCTGGATGCTTCTTAATTGACCTCAGATCAGCGTATCCCCAACTTTAATGGACACATGAACCACCTGAGACTCTCGTTAAACTTGGCTCTAACTCAGTAGATCTGGGGTGGGGCCTGAGAGTCTGCATTTCTATCAAGCTCCCATGGGGTGCTAACATGGCTAGTAGGGACCACCTTTTGAGGGTCCTTAGTGACCACCACCCTACATTCAGCAATACTAATGCACGCAGGAAGTTGAGCTACTCTTTCTTGGAGTCCCCTCGACAAGTTGTACATCCTTTCATTAGAGCACTTAACACATTGTGTTATAATTATTTGTTTAGGGGCCAGCATCTCTATTACACTGAGAGCTCTCACACAGCAGTGGCTGTGTCTTACTCACCTCCGCCTCCAGGTGGTCGGATAAAATCATGAACTCTGAGAGCTCTTACATGGTATCCCTGTTCCTGCTTGGCCATGTGGTGTAAACCAGTGCTTTTCAACCCCAACTGCAGATTAGGGGAATTTAAGAAATAATCAATGCCCAGGTACACTCCTGGGCATCTGATTCAATTGAGCTGTTTTGGGGCTTATGTAGGGATGATTTTAGAAGCCTTCCAGGGTCTTACAACTCAACAATAAAAAGACAAATAAACCAACTGAAAAATGGTCAAAAGATTTGGAGAGATATTTCTCCAGAGAAGACATACAAGTGGCCAATATGTACATGAAGAGATGTGCAAAATCATTAGTCATTAGGGAAAGGCAAATCAAAGCCTCGAGATACAACTTCACACCTGATAAGGTAGCTATAATAAAAAGTAAAAAAGAAAAAAACAAAAGAAGTGTTGGTGAAGATGCGGAGAAATCAGAACATGTATCCACCGCTGATGGGAATCTAAAATGGTGCAGTTGCTTTGGAAAACAGTTTGGCTGTTCCTCAAAAAGTTAAGTATGGAGTTACCATATGATCCAGCAATTCCATTCCCAGGTATGTCCCCAAGAGAACTGAAGACATATGTTCTCACAAAAACTTGTACATCAATGGACCTAACAGCATTATTCACGTTAGCCCCAAAGTGGAAATGACCCAAATGTCCATCAACGGATGAATAAATAAATAAAATGTGGTAAATCCATACAATGAAACATCACTCGCCATAAAAAGGAATGAAGTACTGATGCATGCATAGATGAACTTCAAAAACATCGCGCTAAGCGATACAAGCTAAAGGCCACATATTGTATGATTCCATTTACATGAAATGTCCAGAATGGGCAAATCCAGAGAGACAGAAAGTAGACTAGTAACTGCCAGGGGCTGGGGGAGGGAGGCATCGGGAGGCACGGGATTTCTTTTCAGGGTGATGGTAATGTTTTAGAACTAGATGGTAGTGATAGTTGCACAACATTGTGAAGAATGTTCTAAAATGTTCTAAGAGCCATTGAATTGTCCACTTTAAGATGGTCAAATGATGTATTTTATGTTATGTGAATTTCATCTCAAAAATAAAAAGTTAAAAACTTTCTGGGGATTCTGATTTGTAGCCAAGTTTGAGAACCTCGGTGTAAGGTAACCTGGGGTACATGCTCCAACATTTGCTAGTGAGAAGAGGATGGTGTTAAACTGAAGGTCTCAGCTTTAAATGCACATTGCCATGACCTGGGGACTGTTAAAAATGCCCATGTCTGGGTCTCCACTCCCCAAATCTGATTTGATTGTTCTAGAGGGGCGGCCTGGACAATCTCCTCAGGGAATTCTAACAGTAGCCAAAGTGGAGACTGTGAGGCACAACTTCCTAAACATGAGGGTCACAGTGATCACCAGAGGCCTGGAGGAGGAAGGGGGCACTGGGAACTCTTTAAAAAATTTTATTTTATTGAAGTATAGTTCATTTATAATGTGTTAATTTCTGCTGTACAGCAAAGTTATTCAGTTATACATATATATACATTCTTTTTTTTTTTTCACAGTGCTTGGTCACTTCCATGACCAAGAGCCAGCTTGGAATCCACAGTCAGGGTGGAGCCACGCGGGCCACAGCGCACCAGGACCCGCGTCCTCCCAGCCTGCCCTGCACACACAGCTCTTAGAGCCCTCATAAAACGAGCTCCTGTAAGCAGCTGCTTCTCGTGGAAACTTAGACGCTGGCGGGTGGGTCAGGGTGGGCTCCTAATTGCTGGTCTTCTTTCGTTTCAGTCTAAGCTTGTTCCAAATCCTCTCCAGGGCCACTTTTCCCATGAAGAAGGGGATGGCAAAATTACGCTTGTGCCAGTCCCTTTCTATAGGTGGTCTGTCTGTATTAGGATCCAAGCAATGTCTACACACGGCATGAAGTCTCTTTTATTCTATAATATTAGTTTCCCCTGTGTAGAACCCACTGTCTATGCACTAGGGGTGCAAGCTGCTTTAGGGCTGCCATGCAAGTAACTTTAATCTGTCGATTTTATTTAAAAGTGCAAAAACTAAGTTGATAGCGACTTCTACCTGTTGTAATACATGTGCTTCTGAAAATTTTTACTTAAAAATTCCTTGTAAAAGTCAGCCATTTCTTCTGCATTCAATGTTGCTTTTTGACCTGACTCAGCTCTCAGTTCCAGGCCTTTGGCTTTCAGTCTTGAGTCAATAAATTTTTCTTTTTCCTTAAGAAAAGTCAAATTCTGGTTCTCCCAGAACTGTTGGTTCCATTCTTGTGTTTCTTGTCTTAATTCTCTTAACTTTTGTTCCAATGGTGATTCATTTTCAGGGATGTAGAAGTGAACAGGTCGAAGATTTGAATATTTATCTGGGGGTCCTATCCAATCATGGCAAGATTTTCCTGGAGGCAGAATCTTGAGACCTGCTAGTATTGGAGGGTCTCCTGCGGAGTCGTGGGGTGGTTGTGGCTCACCGTGGGGACAAGGACACTGGCAGCAGCAGTTCTGGGAAGCACTCCTTGGCGTGAGCCCTCCCAGAGTCCGCCATTAGCCCCACCAAAGAGCCCAGGTAGGCTCCAGTGCTCTACATTCTTTTTTATATTCTTTTCCACTATGGTTTATCACAGGATATTGAATAGAGTTCCCTGTGCTATACAGTAGGACCTTGTTTATCCATTCTCCATATAATAGTTTGCATCTGCTAATCCCAGACTCCCAATCCATCCGTCCTCCACCTCTTCTTCCCCTTGGTAACTGCAAGTCTGTTCTCTATGTCTGTGAGTCTGTTTCTGTTTCATAGAAAAGTTCATTTGTGTCATATTTTAGATTCCACATATAAATGATATCATATGGTATTTGTCTTTCTCTTCTGACTTCACTTAGTATGATCATCTCCAGGTCCATCCATGTTGCTGCAAATGGCATTATTTCATTCTTTTTTATGGCTGAGTAGTATTCCATCTTCTTTATCCATTCGTCTGTCAATGGACATTTAGGTTGTATCCATGTCTTGGCTATTGTAAATAGTGCTGCTATGAACGTAGGCGAGCCTTTGATTAACAAGCTCCCCGGTGATGCTGATGCAGGTGGTCTCCACCACACTTTGAGAACACTGCTTTGGGGAAGGGATGTCAAAATTTAATGTGCATACAAGTCACTCAGGACCTTGTTAAAATGCAGCTTCTGGTTCAGCATTTCTAACCAGCTCTCAGATGATGCCAGGGATACTGGTCTGCAGACCACAGTTTGAGTCGCAAGGTTATAAAGCTGTGGTTCTCGGAGTGGGTTCTCTGGGCCGGCATTAGCATCAGCTGGGAACTCATTAGAGATGCAGATTCTCAGGCTCTACTTCAGACGTACAGAAGCTCTGTAGCTGATCTGTTTCAACAAGCCCTCGTAGTAATTCTGCTGCAGGCTGGGGTCAGAACCACTGCAGATGTACAGCAAGTGCTCTTACCCCCCAGAAATGCCTCGCACAAAAGCCTGGACCAGCATCCCAATAAGGGAGCTGAGGGCTGTAAACTCAGAGGTGCCAGTGGCCTCAGGGGGCCACTGATTCTGAGCAAAGGAAGCCGTAGAGAAGGAGGTGTTAGAGTGGGGTGGTGGGCACCCCTGAGGACTAACGAGGTCTTCAGCCCAGGATGGTGGCAGAAGGAAAGGCCAGCACAGAACCGGGCCGTGGGGCAACAACGGTCAGGGTGGGGGGGTACATTCGTGGCAGAAGTGAATCTGTGACCCAGGGCCTCCTGTCTTCACTGTGTCCCTTCTACAGCTCAGGTACCTGCCTTCCCAGGTCCCCAGACCCCTTGGGAAAGCTGCACAGCCACCCACTTATACGGAAGGTGTTAGGAACTTAATGTGCTACTTCTTCCTGGGTCATTTGCATTAAAAAATGGCTTTCAGGGGAAAGCAATGTTTCTAAAGTGCAGTTTTAAGGTTTAGGGTGCCTGGCTAGGAAGCTGCCTGGTCTTCAAATCACACCTCTCAGAGACAGCCTATGGGACAGATGAATGCGGCTCTGCCTCCAGCTTTCCCCGGTGAGGGCTGGCGGGGCCCCTCCCTGGGTTCGGGCCAGGCTGCAGGAGCTGAGGAATTCCCACTCTGCCCAGCTGCCTCCTGGAATCTCTCACCGCCCTATCCTCTGTGGGAGAGAGGCAGCAATTAGCATAACTGGAACAGATCCTCTTTGTCTACATTCCAGACTGTGGGATTCAGGCCTCCCCCAGAGACATGTTAATTACGTGGAAGGGACCCTGGGTGCCCGTTGGCACCAAATCCTCGCCGCAATGTTGCTGCTGCTGGAAATGAACCAGGTGTAGGTGAAGCCACAGCCCGGGCTTGTGCATTGATTAACCTGCTTCCCAACCAGGAAACCTGCTGCTCCAGTCCTTCAAGCTCTCTCAGTATCTTCCTCCTCCAGGTTTCCCCAGTCCTCTGTGGTCAGGAAAATATGCTTACTCTTGGCATGAGTATCTTCCATCAGCTCACCCATGATTGGCTTTCCTTCCCATCTGGACTGTGGTTTCTTCACAGGGGACCTTGTTTTATACTTAATTAATGAATCAACCAAACAATCAATCAATGTTCGTTAAAGAAAGCTTTTTTTGCCAAGCGCCGTGCAAAGATCAGTAAGGCACCATCTGCAACGAGGCCTGTACAACTTAGTTAGGGGGGCAGGGGTACATAGCCAAGTGATCAGTTACATGCCAGTGGTGAATAGAGGATGCTCTGGGAAGATTGAAGGGGGTTACAGAAATGTGCCTGGGAAGGAGTGAAAGGAGGAGCAATGGAGGGCTTCCTGGAAGAGGTGACATTTGAACAAGATTAAGGATGAGTAGGGTCTACCACATGGGGGTTACAGACAGAAGAAAAAGCATGTACAAAGTCACCTGGTGGGACAGAGTTTTGGGCTTTTCTGGGGTCACAGGTGGCAGAGGCGAACTGGAGAGGCAGGTGGCTGGGTCCTAGAAGGTTTTACCTTCCAAGTCAAAGAGTTTGGAGGTTGACTTGAGGGCACTGTGCAACAAGTGAAGGATTTGAATAAGGGGGTAGTGTGGTCAGAGTTTTAGAAAGAGAGGGCCACAGTGCGGAGGGCAGACTGTGGGGGATGACCTGGAAGGGGAGACTAGGGAGGCATCAGGAGGGTGGGATCAGGGAGACTGAGAAAGGAGGAGGCAGGGGCCGAGAGACCAGGTACCACAGGGGTTTATGAGATGAAGATGGGCGTGTTGGATTATCAATCATGAGGTTACTGATGATTTAAGAGCAGTTTCAGTGGAGCGGGGAATAAGTGGAAGATACTTTCAAAAAGCTTTGCTTTGAAGGGTGGGAGATGATAAAATGAAGCGAAAGGGGAGCAGGGGTAGGGAAGACTTCTTTTTAAGACAGATTTTGTATGTATCTCTATCGTTTCACTTTCCCAGTTTCACTGAAATTTTCTGTGCGGGTGCATGCCTGCCTCTCTGACCACCCCAGCATCCCACGCATCCCAGTCTGGGTTAGGGGCTGCTCCTCTCTCAGAGCCCCAGCCCTGTGAAGAGCTCTGGCAAAGCACACAGGTGGTGAACTGGGTTGTCAGTTTCTTACGTGTCTTCCTCTTTTTTTTCTTTTTTAATAAATTTATTTTATTTATTTTTGGCTGCGTTGGGTCTTTGTTGCTGCGTGCAGCCTTTCTCTAGTTGCAGCGAGCGGGGGCTACTCTTTGTTGCGGTGCACAGGCTTCTCACTGCAGTGGCTTCTGTTGCGGAGCACAGGCTCTAGGCATGCGGGCTTCAGCAGTTGTGGCATACAGGCTCAGTAGTTGTGGCCCGCAGGCTCTAGAGCACAGGCGCAGTAGTTGTGGCTCATGGGCTTAGTTGCTCCATAGCGTGTGGGGTCTTCCTGGACCAGGGCTGGAACCCGTGTTCCCTGCATTGGCAGGCGGATTCTCAACCATTGCTCCACCAGGGAAGCCCCGTGTCCTCCTCTTGACTGTGAGGAGCACAAGAACTGAGCCCATGTAGCTAGGGGTTCCCAGAACCTATCCCAGTGCCTGGCACAATGTAGATGCTCAAAAAATGTGCCTTGAACCAGCTTGTGTGAATGAGATGGTAGATGAGGGCTCCTGCTTCCAGCCACTGCCTACCTGGGGAGACCCAAGTGGAGTGAACTGTGATTGTCCTGGTGTTGGAGCCACAGAGCATCTGGTGACTCTCGTGTGATCAAGAAAAATGGTGAAGAGCTGAGGGCTTTGAGGTTTCCCTGCTTGTCAACCCGGAGCCAATGCTTTGGGAATAAATGTCTAAGTGCAAGTTCAAGCATGTCCATATGAGGTATGTGGACCCAGAGTGGCTCACCTGTGTTCCTGGAACTGTTGTCTGTGGGTGCCAAGGGTGTGCTAAGTCTTATCCCTACTAGGTCACACAGTCTTCAAAGGAAGAGGAGTCATCAGTGATGATTTTGTAAACAGGGGCTGTAAGTGAAAGGCTCTGACCACTCACAGATGATGTTCCCTCCTCACTGATCCTGGAATTCTCTTGATCTCTGAGGGTGTGAGTTGTACCTTACCTGTACGGCAGGTAAGTTGCACCTGCCGTAACCTCACTCTCCTCATCTGGAAAGTCAAGGCGTCATTCCAGCTCCAGTCGGCTTGGATTCTGCTTAATTTTTAGATCTTTTCTTGAGATTAGGTTTTGATAGGAAGAGCCTGGAAGGATGTTATGTACCTGAGAGGGAAGAAGGGCTTCTGTGGAGGGTGAGGGACTGAGAAATGGGAGGTTACGGCTCTGGGAAACACTTGCCCACTTCCCTACCCTCACGTCACTTCCCACACAATTGAGGAGTCAGGATGACCACAGCCGTGAGACAGCCTAACAATCAAAGCACGTTCTTGGTGATCCAAGTTCATGTGAAGTCATATACACGGGCTCCAATGGGAAGTGGAAATTTGGACCAGATCTGTTCAGACCTGCCCTGAAAGTAACCCAAAGGCCCATGAGGTGGTCTCAGAACTCCTGGGACCGTTCTCTCTGGGATCGGCTCACTGGATCTGCTCTGGCTTGGACAGCCTCTAATTCTGTCCTGTGCTGTAACCAACCTCTCAAGGTAATCCAGGGCCAGATCAGACCCAGCCCATCGGGAGGAAAGGCAATCTCGCTGTTCTACAGAGAAAGCACTGAAGGAACCTCTGTCTGCCCTTGATGCCATGAAGACGCTACCCCACGAAGGCCTGGTTTGGAGTCTCAGTTGGTGGATAGAGCAGAGATTCTGCGAGAGCTTTCTTCACCCTCTGGTTCTGATCAGGTGGCGAGAGCGTATGCTGTGACTCGGTCAGAGCTCGCTGTAAGGAGTGGTTATCACATCTCAAATTGAGGAGACCATCCCTGATGCTTTGTTGCCAATTGGGCTCCAGAGGATGAAGAAATTACAGGATCTTCAGAGTCTGTTTGTAACTTTCAGTGCAATAACCACTCTCTAAAAAGGGGAGGTAGTGCGCTTTCACAGGAAAAGAACGTGAACTAGAAGTCAGAAGGCCTGAGTGATTCTTCCACTTAAGAGCCAAGAACCCTTCACAACCTGGGTGTCAGTTTTCGCGTCTCTAAAATGGGAATAAGAGTACCTGTCTTAGGCCCTCACGGGCTAGTCTTGAGGATCAAGTGAGCTAAAAATGTGAAAGAGCCCTTGCGGTAAGGGATGGTACTTTTGATTACAAATCAGCTGGACTTTCCCTCCTCCAGATATTCGCTCAATCAGAACACATGGGCCCACAGGGTGTGGTCCACACGGGTATATGTGGGTGTGGGGCTCTTTCAGCCCAGTTTGGGGTCCTCCAGCTGGCAGCACAGTCTGCTGCCTTGTGTCTCTTGCTCATTTTGTCCTACAGAAGAGCCAGTGAGGGCTTCAAAGCAGGAAATGTTTTCACAGTTTCTGCCACGAGAAAACCAAGCTTTCCCAGGCTGTACGTCGAGCCCCGCCTTGCTGGAGAAGATCGGAGACTGGTCTTTATCTCTGTGACAGTTAGACCCTTTATAGTCAGTCAGGCATTTTATTGTTTCCCCAGTGATGACATGGCTGGAATTCAGCCCATGTCTTTGTAGTACTTGCCGGTGTCAGATTAATAAGGGGGAAGGAGAAGGAATCATGTGCTGGACAATGAAAGCTGTGAGCCTGGGACTTTACAAACTCCCAGCAATTCTCTTTTGGTCGGGAGGCAGCTGTGCTAGGAAGGGTCGAAGATCTGGAATTCTTTCTGATCTGGCTGCTGGGAGTGGGGCAGGGGGCTTGTAAGTCTCTGGGCATCATCTTGTTAAAACTCTCTTATATGAAGCAGGCCAGTGCCAGAAGAGGGGCTTTCTGGGGACCATCTCTGAGTGGTGGCTGAGCCAAAATGTCGGCATCAGGACTGTGGAATTTAGCCAGGAACAGATCAATTTCATGCAGAGAGCAACTTTGAATAGGGAAGCAAGGATCAATAACTTAGGATTCCGACTCTTCCGGAAACTACAGGAAAGGATATCGAATATAGCCACATACGGTTATGACCCGGGGGGACTGTGGTGACCACTACTAGGGAGGTACCAACACTGTGTGAAGGGGGATTTAGAGTTTTGCTATAGTCTTAATGTGTGTCCCCCAAAATTCCTATGTTGAAGCCTAATCCTCAATGTGATGGTATTAGTAGATGGGGTCTTTGGGAAGTGGCCCCTAATGTCATGAGGGTGGAGCCCTCATGAACGAGATTAGTGCCCTTATAAAAGAGATCTCAGAGAGCTCCCCAGCCCCTTCTACTATGCAAGGGTACAATGAGAAAACCAGAAAAGGGCCCTCACCTGACCATGCTGGCACCCTGATTTGGACGTCCAGCCTTCAGAACCTTGAGAAATAAATGTCTGTCGTTTATAAGCTATCCAGTCTCTGGCACTGCATTATAGCAGTCCAGATGGACTAAGACAGGTATTGTCAGGAGAGTCCCAGGAGTCTGATGGTTGGTGGGTAGCTGCACAACCACACCCATGGCCATGGCCATGTGTCTCCACAGAGCCTCACATTTCGGCCACCATGAGCTGGTAGCCTGAGAGCATCATTTCATCAGTCTGGGTTTGAAGCCAGTCTCTTCTGAGGCAAACAAGTAGCTATTTCATAGGCCATATCAGATGCGTGCCCAGGGATGACTACCTGCCCTGGAAGACAGTTGCCCAGGGACTCTAAGCCTGTCACCCTATGATGCCTCCTCTGACTTGAACTAGCCTGTGTCCCAAAGATGAGGGCCCTCCTATTTAGAAAAAGAAAAGAAAAATAGAAACCATCAGAAGCAGCCTCTTCCCCTTCCTGGTCACCAAACTTTCCTTTATTTGTTTGCACCCTTTGATCCTTCTCTGGATCACAGTGGAAGTTGTGTCTGTGATCTCCTCCTGTCCACCTCCTACACCAGCACCCCCAATTTCACAACGCACTGATCTCGTTAAATGTCTCCTCTCTCCCAGGTCTTTATCCCTTCTCCCTGGGCTAGTCTGCCTTCCACCTGCATTTAACACAATCAAGTCTCATTCATTCAAAAAAATAAAAGCCTCCCTCCTGTCTTCACATGCCCTGCCACTCTGTTTCTCACACCGTCTGGAAGGTGTTTTCTATACTTGCCCTCTCCACCACTTTCCCCCCTCGTGTTCACGCCTGATCTCACTGCTCTCTGGCTTGTCCATCTACCACTGGGCCAAGACTGCTCTCAGTGTGGTACCAAAGGCCCGTCTGTAGAGCCAGTGTGCCTTTTCTCAGCAGATTTGATTCTTTGGACCTCTTTTTTCCTAACAAGAGAAAACCCCCCACTCTTTCCTTAAATCCCCTGACACCACACATGTTCCTGCTTTTCCTGGGTCTCCAGTTTCTCCTGCCCTGTCTCCTCTCACCAGTTTCTGTTCTTGTGTCCTGAGCTCTCTTCTCTTTCTTTCTTTTTACACTCACCCTCACCTATTTCATCCAGTTATACAAGGCAAAATTCACCACCTGTCTCAGATTCCGGCCTAGGCAGATTTCCTGAGCTCTGTTTTGATGTCTCTGGACACCCACAGTAAGTACGTGAGCCGGCTCCCTCCCTGTGCTGTGCTCCAGTGAGCAGCATGGTTAGTAACTCTGTTACTCAGTCAGAAACCTGGCTTTGTGAGTAAGGTGTGGGGTGAATGGTGAGTACAAGAACATTTCCCTTGAGCCCACAGTTTCTCCCACCACCCCAGGAAAGTAGGTTCTGGAAGGAGAGAGAGAAGGTGGGGAAGGAGAGGAAGAAGGAGACAGAGAGAGAGAGAGATAGAGGCATGAGATAGCGTATGATCTCTTTTCTAAGGCTGAGCATCTGTGACATGTTTTATCCATGTTTACAGCACGTTAACGGTGAAAAGTTGTCAATGCAGGATTCTGGCAGATTCCTCATCAGAGGACACTTCAGAGAATGCCCTTGAAGATGAACCCAAACAAGAAAATAGTCCTGATCTTTTCTTGAGCTTGGGTCTGGGTCAGGCACCTCAGCAGAGCATTGATCCAAAAGCTGAAGTCCCCAGACAAGAAGCAGTGACTAGGAGAGGGCTGGGAGTGGGGTGGGGTGGGGGCAGGGAGGGAGGAAAGGCTGGACGTGCAGACGGTGCCACCGTCCTGACATTACAACCAGGGAGGGGCTGCTGAGCGCTGGTGAAGGAGCCTGGCATCACTGGAGGGAAGAAGGGACACCCACCATCTCCCAGGGACTCAGCTTCAGGCAAACAGACCCTGGAGGCCTGGGAGGGTGGGGGGCACATTATGGGAGGAAGAGGCCGCAGGGAGACTCCGAAGATGATACGAGCCAGCCCTCTTCACCTCCAGTGGGGAGACCAGAGGCCAAGGGTGTGCCTGAGCCTTCAGTGGGGCTCGACCATCCAGCTTTTGGTGGAGAGGTTCTCGTACCTCCTCACAGGCTATGAGCAAAAAGCCCAGCATCTCCTTGCTGTTCTTGGTTTTGAACAGCCTGGATAGCCCCTTGGAAGACTGGCTCATGATCTCTACTCTTCTGGTTCATTCTTTTTTTTTTTTTTTTTTTTAATTTTTATTTATTTTTGGCTGTGTTGGGTCTTCATTGCTGTGCACGGGCTTTCTCTAGTTGCGGCGAGCGGGGGCTACTCTTCGTTGTGGTGTGGGACCTTCTCATTGTGGTGGCTTCTCTTGTTGCAGAGCACGGGCTCTAGGCACGTGGGCTTCAGTAGTTGTGGCGCGTGGGCTCAGTAGTTGTGGCTCATGGGCTCTAGAGTGCAGGCTCAGTAGTTGTGGCGCACGGGCTTAGCTGCTCCACAGCATGTGGGATCTTCCCGGACCAGGGCTCAAACCTGTGTCCCCTGCATTAGCAGGCGGATTCTTAACCACTGTGTCACCAGGGAAGTCCCTTCTAGTTCATTCTGTCTCATTCTGCTTTTCCCTTGACATTCTTCTAACTGGGTAATTCTTCTACTCCAGTTCTAATCTGTATCGGGCCTCCTAATCTCTCAAGAGACAGATATCTGTCATAAGGTTTGGCTTTAAGGAGGTGTTCTTTGGGAATTCCCTGGCGGTCCAGTTGTTAGGACTCTGTGCTTCCACTGCGGGGGACACAGGTTCGATTCCTGGTCAGAGAAATAAGATCCCCCAAGATGTGTGGTGCGGCAAAAAAAAAAAAGAAGGTTTTCTTCAACATTTTTCTCTTTTACAATATTCCTGTAACAGCAGCACTCTTGTAAGAACTCTTTCATCGTGTTGCTCCCCACACCCAAAGTGTTTGGAAGCTTCTCCAATCTGGTGGACCCATTCTAAACTTCACACTCAGGTGTCTGACACTCTCCACGGTCACCTTCCCCCATTTCCACCTTGTCTGCAGCCCATAATTACTCCAGCTGCTCACCTTCCCACCTTCTTCAGTGTGTGTGTCACACACACACACAATCACTCATACTCGTGCTCTTCTTGTCTGGAATGTTTTCCTTGGGACCTCATCCCGACTTTTCCATCAGGCTGTGCTGCCTGGACCAGGTCCTGTCCCCTCTCAGAACCTCAGTTTCCCCGTCCGTAAAATCGAGGGGTTGGACTAGGTGAGGTTCACTGGGGCCCCTTTCAGTGTTGAGGTTCTTTAACTTGGTGACGAGTTGGAAAGTCACTGGAGGACAGGAACTCTGTTCCATATACACCTTTGTGTTCCTGACAGAAGCCACGTAGAAACTGCAGTCTAGGTCAGTGTTGATTTTGTTATTGTAACAGTCTGGCCCATCGTAGGGACTAAAGATCTCCCTGCTGGGCTGGTTGTGGGCGTGTGTGGGTGTTTTTGTCTCTTGGACTGTGCATTTGTCAATAGGATGTGCGCATATAAAGAGGGATTTATTTTAAGGAGTTGGCTCATGTGATCGCAGAGACGGGGGAGTCCAAAATCTGCAGGGCAGGCCAGCAGGCTGGCAACCCAAGGAAGAGTTCAAGTTCAAAGGCAGTCTGCCAGTAGAATTCCTTCCACTGCCTTAGACTTTGTTTCTGTAATCCCCAATTTCACAACCTTTCCCACAAATTTCCATCAGCTCTCAGGCCTGATTGTGTGGGTGAGAGTGAGTGCTTCTGTGGTATTGCCTCCCGGGCCAGAATGTAACTCATTCATTTCAGGAATTTTCTTTTCTCTGCTTAAAAGCCTGTGTGTGACTCAGAGCCGGGAAAACTCATGAGTGAGTGAAACGTCATTGGTAAATTGCAAGGGTTCAGCCCCAGCCACGTGGAATCAACACTCTTTTTTCTGTGACCTTATATATACCTTAGGTTGGAAAAAAAAGTAGAAAAAAAAAAAGATAAGAAACTGTCTTTTCTTCTCAGGCATTTTGCCCAGGGTATGGGTCTAACCTTGATTTTCCAAATCACTTTGCAGCCTGTTGTTCAGGGAAACAGAAGCTCCAAAGAAAATAGGATAATGGTTTAGTGACCCTGGGCTCATCTTGAACAAGCCAGTGGGTGATGGGTTTCCACATTACCTTTGGCAGGTAAGGTTGGTTGGCAAACGTGTTAAACAGGGAGAAGAATAGCATTCAAGTCCATCATCAAATATCTGTAATAGTTGATTTTGTGAAAACAAACAACAAAGTGCTACAAAAGAGGTCCTATGGGATAACGGAAATCAATGCATCCCAGGTGATCACCTGCAGTGGCCGAGTGTGCCATGAGGATACTCAGGCTGCAGGGTGCTTCTCTGGGAGTAGATCTGGCTCTCCCATTCCATGTGCTGGCTCTGGGGTCTGTCTTTGGAGGTCTGCCTGTGGTCTTGAACAAGAGTAGCATCAATTTTCAAGGAACCCCACGTGGATCCGGCAACTCTAAACTCAGGAAGGGGAATGTGGCATGAGAATCCCAGGGGAGCTTGTTGAACACACGCATACCCCAATTTCCCCACCCCACGTGGCTCTGACTTGGTGGGACTGCGGTGGGACCCCAAGAATCTGCACGTTCGCTGAGCTGGCCAGGTGATTCTGCCATCCATCCAGGTATGGGAACCACAGTCCTAACCAGCGTGGAGTGACTGGGGATGGAGCCCTGGCTTCCAGATTGGCCCCCTTTCTCTTCCCTGTTTCTGGGCCTTAGCAGTACACCATGTGTATGGGCGTGCTCTCAGGAGCATGCGGTTAGCAGACGCTCTAGGTGTTTGACCCACCCTCCCCGCAATGAAAGACATCCTCACACACCCCTGCCTCCCCAGTTCTGAGGATTTATTAAATTCTATGTCTCTGGCTAGAGTGGGAGAGAAAGTTCCCCTGCACACACACCTGGGCGTATGAAATCTTCTTTTTTGCCCGCCCATCCTCCCGTGATCCTGGGGGACATTGTGGAGCAGAAGGAGGAAATACGCCCCAGGGGTGGGGCGTTCTCTGACCTCGATGCCTGCCCTCTGACCTAACAGTTTTGATGTCAGTAGGTACCAATAAAATGGGCTGTGTAAAATTCCTCTTGAAAGAAAGGGGTCGAGTTAGCTGAGAGATGCGTCAGCAAGTTCCAGTCCATGGCAACTGCCTTCTCCTTCGAGTCTGTTCCTTTCCCTGGGAAAGGCATGAGTAATAAAAGGAATGGAATTGGCAAACTCTGCTCACTGTCATCGGTGATGGGACTGCATGCACTGGTGGGCAAGAGGCCCGAGGCCAGAGGGGAAGGGCCTGGGGGAGGGCGCTGCTAGGAAACCTCATGTGGGCATTTCTGCTCCTTGGGGAGCCCCAGAATGACTCCTCGACACCCAGGCTCACCCCACCACACTCGGTCCACTTGCCTGTAGGTCAGATGCTGCCACCTCCCCTTCACTCATGTTCTTGTCTCTGAGCCTCTCCTCTGCCCAGAAGACAAGCACCCTATGTCTTTCTGTCAGAGGGTCTCTCTGCCCTAACCACAGCGAAGGACGCAGGAGCGCAATGGCACCCAGGGGCCACACATAGGCTGCTCCGTGCTTGGCCCCCGGCTCCTGACTTACTTCTGAGACAATAGGTGGAAGCCCCATGGACAGAGCTCATCAACGACCCCCTGCCCCAACCTTGGGCCTTCTGTGTACAAAGATGTGGCAGCTCACACTTCACCTGTCTTTCCAGATCTTCTTTCTTGCCTGTCTGGTCTTCGCCTGGCTTTTTTTGTTTTGTTTTGTTTTGCGGTACGCGGGCCTCTCACTGTTGTGGCCTCTCCCATTGTGGAACACAGGCTCCAGACGCGCAGGCTCAGCGGCCATGGCTCACGGGTCCAGCCGCTCCGCGGCATGTGGGATCCTCCCGGACCGGGGCACGAGCCCGCGTCCCCTGCATCGGCAGGCGGACTCTCAACCACTGCGCCACCAGGGAAGCCCCTCCTGGCTTTTTGAGCCTCCTCTATGCCTCCCCATCGGATGGATAGTGCATGTGTGAGAGCTGCCTTGCATTCCCAAGGTGTTTCCTCTCAGATGAAACCCCTGAGTTAACTATCCATCCACCACCCCACCCCCAATCTTGTCCCTTGTCCTCGCCCCATCTTTGGCTCTTTCTTACCTGGGTGGGGGAGCAGACATGGACAGGTGGAGTCTGGCTGGGGAAGAGAGAGTAGGGGCACTCTTTCATGCCTTCCTTGGACACCCAGTCTCCCCGCTACCTCCATTCAACAGCCCTATTTTCTGTATCCTTCACATGCTCTCTGATTAGGACAGCCTAGACTGGGTGCTTTCTGCACCCAGCCATTCTTAGCTCTCACATACTGTGTGCATTAACGGAAACAAAGCTTCGTGTGGGCACATTCTAGCATCCCAGTTAGATCAAAGAGGGCAGACATCTGCTCCCAGCAGCCACTAGTGCCCTGCACGCTGGTGGAAATCCAACTGTTCTGGCAACTGACTCCTCCTGGTGAAACATTCTTGGTTCTCCTGTGCTCTGGGAGGCATGGGAAGCAAAGTTTCCACCAGCAGCTTCGTTGTGACGACAGCCAATGGAAAGAAGGGCTCTCTTGTTGGGAAGAATTCTAGGCGTGTAAAGAAAACAGAGCTCTGAATAAAGCAACGTCTATATTCATTCATTTGTCCTTTCACATTCACTGATTCCCAGTAGACCTACTAAGTGCCAATTCTAGGTAATGCATAGTCCCTGGGAGCCTACCATCTTGTTGGGGAGATAACAGTTGAAACAATGAGACAACATGGCAAATCAGCATGTGACTAAATGCCCCAGATATTTGGTTTGAGTCATGAATTGAGGAGGTCAGAGAAAAAGCATGGTAGGGTTGCAGGGGAGTGAGTAGGCACCCTACCGGGGAGAGTGGTCCCCCAGGCCATGGAAGGAAGGGCAGAGTTTAGACATGTAGAAGAGAATGTGGAAGACCTTCTCGGCAGAAGAAATGAGCAAAAACGTGGTGTTTTGCAGCAAGCGGGGGTGTTCTGGGGCAGTGGAAGGAGCTGGAGAGAACGGATGCTGGATCCATGCTGCTTCCGTGGACATAGCAGGCGTGTGGGCCCACACTGGCCATTCCAGGCCTCGTCTGGGAATCGCTTTGGTAACGAAGAGTGCATAAAAGGAGTTTGCCGGGGCTGCCTTCACCTCTCCCAGGCCCTACCAGCAGGCACAGCCAGGACCAGAGACCTCATCCAGACTATTCTTGTCTCGCTCCAGGAGCAGAGGTAGCAAAGTGGCTGGAAAGGCAAAGCTCTCTGATTTCCAAGGCCTTCCGATCCAGCCAGGTGGAGGGCAGCCAGGGAAGCAGCAGCTGGTGGCAGCCTGCCTTATTGCCATAGATAGCAGGCAGCTACTCAAGGGAACAATTGGGCAGAAAGGGCGGTGGTGGGTCAGGGAACACGGGCCAGTGGAATTCTGAACAAGGTCAAAGTCCAGTTTGGTACAGTGCTTGATTACCAATTTAAATCTCATCTTTCCTCCCAGGGCGGCTGCCACCCCTGCAGAAGAGGCCAGGGCTGCCACAAGGGAAATTTGCATGGAAAGATTCCAAGCGCCGGACACCCTGGCAGGGCTGCAGCCTGGCCTGCACGTTCATCCCAACACCCGGAGGTCACATGCTGAGCACGCTCTGATTTTGCCCATATCTGGATGCCCACTCGCTTGGGGGGGGGGGAAGAAAGACCCCAAACTCTTCTCACTCCTTCCAGTCTGGGAGAGGGTCCTGGAGTGTGCAGAATGGAAGCGGTGGGGTCTGGAAGCCGGTGATCATATGTTTTTCTTAACTGGGGCTGGAAGGAAGTCCTAAGGGAATGGCAGTCAATGGGTAGCAGGGATATTAAAGGGGCTGAACTGGAATAAGGCTGGGGGCGGGGGCGGGGGCGGGGGAGACGTGGAACGGGGCTGATGGAATGAGACAAGAATCTGGGTCACAGTGAGCGTCAGCAGGTGGATTCTACAGCAGTGGTGGACTGATTTATTCTGGCCACCCGATTCAATCTGAAAGAAGACTCCTCTTCATACCTCTCTCCTTGGGGCAGCTGGTTCTCAATCTTTTTCTTCATCTGGGGAGCTTTAGGAAATATTAATACATGATTACTAATGCCCCAGAGATTCTGCTGTAGCAAATCCGTAGCTTCTCTCCTTCCCCATCAATCCCATCACCTCTGCCTCCATCCCCACCACCCTAAAGGAAAGGGATAGAAAAGCCCTCTTCACTTCCATATGCTAAAACCCCATGGGGTTGGTCTTTCTATGACCCCTTTACCATCAAATCAGCACACACTTATTGCATCCCTTGGTGTTGGTGAAAACTTAGGCACACAGCTTCAAGTTGAGGGTTGGTGCTTGCTTTCAGCTGGACACAACTGTCCGTGAGAAGAGGGAGGACAGGCTGCAATGGGTTTGTGACGTCAGGGTTCGTGGAGACAATGATCTTCTCACAAGGAGATTTGCTTGTCGGCATCCTCAAAGGCAAAGCCTGTCCCAATCCTTTGGCTGCGTGTTGGGCTGCAACATTAGATGTAGGTTACCCAACACCCTGTGCCCGGGAGCCTCACGTGCGCGCGTGTGCACGCGCACACACACACACACACACCCCTACCTGCCGGAGGAGGTGCAGGTACATTCTGTGTATCCTGCATCCAAGTTGATGGCCCAGCAGGCTTGGCTGGCCCAGACCACATCTGAGCACACCTGGGACTCAGGGGCACCCTGAGGTTTTGCTGTAAGCCTCAGGGCTTCCTCCCCTTCCCCTTTCAGCTGGGGATGGGGGGCAGAGGTTGATGTAACAGGGACTCCCTGCTGTCTGAGTGGGAGGAACAAGGAAGGCTGGAGCTCAGCTCTTCGAGAGCACGTGGGCCCTCCAGGCCTCCGGGTCAGGCTGGAGAGGCTGAGGGCTCCCGTGGGCTCTGGTGAGTGTCCGGGGCTGGCAGGCGCCCCGGGAGAGAAGTGACTCGGGGACGGGCACTAGCTAAGTGGGCCACAGACGATCTTTGCTGGGCACATTCCTGCTTGGCCCCATCTACCACTCACTTTGGAGGTGGCAGGAGCTTGGTGGGCACAGTAGGACCTCACAGCAGATCAGAAATCCTCACTAACTCCAGGTTCCCACAGTCCAAAGTCTAGAGTGCAGAACACTCTGTCATCTGTGCCCAGATGTCCTGTCCAGCCTCATCTGCCTCTTTGCCCTCACTTGGATCTTCTGCCCACTCTCTGCCACTCTCTGCCCACCTCCCCTACCCCCCGGCCCCTGCCCCCAGCTCACCTGGGTGTTCCACAGGCCATCAGTCCCAGGTGCCGATCTTGCCACAGGTGTACCCGCTTCCTCCTCAGACACCTATCACATCCTACCAGCCCACCCAGGTCCAGCTCTGGGAGACCTTCCTCAGCCGGAGGTGATTTCTATGTATTTCCTAGGAATGGTGCACTGTATCGTTCATCTCTGCATCCCTAATACTTAGCCCGGTGTGAGGATTAAACACAGTAAGATTTAGCTGAGGAAACAAGTGCACGGATGATGTATGTCAGGAATCGGGCACTCCACCTTCTGAGTGTTTTTCTTCGTGGACGCACATTATCAAGCTAATTTATGAGCTCACAGAAAGCGCTGACCCTGCATTTCTCACCTTTCCATACCTCACAGCATACAGCCCGGAACCTTGTACATGGAGGTGTTCAGTGACAGATGTGTTTTGATAATGAGGAGGACAGACACTAAAAGTGGGTTCTTTCCACTCTCTAATTGGGACCATATACTCCAGCCAAGCCCGTTTCTTCACTGTCTGCCGCCCACTCCCTGCTCACCTGGGCTGTCACACCTGTGCTCACCCCAACCCCTACCTGTTGTTCTCAAGGTGAGATTGAACCCCACCTCATCCATAATACCTACCTCTAAATCTCATATAAGTGGGAAGACTCTCAGTTCGCCAACTCACGTATGCAGGTAATAGCATAGTTCTTTACTTTCTGCAAAACTGTTTGTGACGGTGAATTATATATGTCAACTTGACTGGGCTAAGGGACGCTCAGAAAGCTGGTAAAATATTATTTCTGGGTGTGTCTGAGGTGGTGCTGGAAGAGATTAGCATTTGAATCAATAGGTCAAGTAAAGATGATGCCCCTCGCCAATTTGCGGGGCACCATCCAATCCACTGAGGGCTTGAATAGAACGGAAAGGTGGAGGAAACATGAGTTCACTCTCTCTGCTTGAATAGACACTCCTGGTTCTCTGGGCTTCATATCTGAACTGAATTGCACAACCAGCTTTCTTATTTCTCCAGCTTACAGACGGCAAATCCCGGGACTTCTTGGCCTCCACAATTGTATGAGCCAATTCCTATAATAAATCTTTATCTACTTATCTATCTGTCTATCTATCTGTCTCCTACTGGTTATGTTTTTCTGGGGAACCCTGACCAAACACAACTTAATGTTGACTTCACATCCCCGTCCTACTGGGATGTCAGGAAATTCAACCGAAATCTTTCTCTGGTCACTACCTGATCCGCCACTGGATTGGGTAAAGTGTCTAGGCCTCCTTGCCATGGGTCCATATTGATCACAGGGGAGAAGCCCCTACCCCAGGTGTGGTCTCTGCAGGTTTTTCATCTTGCTAATCACCTTTGGGTCATGGGCTTCTATGGTGATCCCAGAGCCCAGGATACCCCAAACCACTATTCCTTCTGAGGGTCTCTCATTATGGGGTGCCATTAGTGAGCAAGTTGCAAGTTCCCATTGATCTTGTGACCCATAGACCACACCCCACCCCTGGTTTTAGTCTAGGAAATATCCCTCTCCTCAAACTCTATTCTCTTTAATTGATCTGTGTATTTTCCCTGTCTCCAATACCACGTATGTGTATTTTTAATTTTAATAAACATGTTTATAGTATATTGCTAGATTGTTTTCCAGTCTGCCCAGTTTATTTTTTCAACAACAGTGTGCGAGAGTGTCCTTCTTCTGCGTCTTTACTAGCAAAGAGTATTATCATACTTTATTTTTTGCCAATCTCCTGGGGTAGAAGTGATTTCTCGGTGTTACTTCAATTTTAATTATTTTCTCTTGATTAGTTCTCTTTATTATATGGGGGAAGTGGGAGGTGGAAGGAAAGGGCAGAGGGGAAGTGAGCTAACGTAATCCTGCTGCGATGCAGAATTTCAGCTAGGTAATTCTTTTTCTATGTTAAAAAATTAATACACAATGTACCCTTTTAACCATTTTAAGTGTACATTCAGCATATACTAAGGACATTCATAATGTCATGCAACCATCACCACTTTCCATTTCCAGAACATTCTCATCATCCAGAATAGAGACTCTGCACCAATTAAATAATACCTTCCCCACCCTCTCCCCAGTCCCTGGTACCCTCTACTCCACTTTCTGTAAACAGCGCAGGTGTAACAGTGGGATTTGGGCAGGCTGAGAAATGCGACCCTCAGCGGGTCATTGTGCAGCAGTGGGAACGCCCATTTTTGCTTAGAATCTCTCTGAGTCTCCCTTTCCTCACCTGAAAGGTAGAAATAATGATACCAGCCCTGCCTAAATCAAGTTTTTATACTGAGAATTGAAAAATAACGCAAATACATTTATAGCCAAACATACGTGCCTTTTTAGGTTTATACCCCCCAAAATTGTGAATACATTGATGCTAAGTAAAAATTGTACCTTATACGCCCTAGGAAAGTTGTCTCTTCAAAAAGTTCCATAATTAATTCTTTTGTTAAGTGGAGGACTGTCGGCAATGTGCTTTGAACAGCCAGCTTTGAATACTTTTTCTTTCTTAGGACCAACTGTGTAGAGCACTGACCGGCTGACTTTAGGAAGAGTGGATGGGCGACTGAGCTCGGAGAGTAACTGCTCAGACAGGGCAGGTTGGTGAGAAGCCCTGTGAGAGGCTGGAACTTGTCCTTTCGCTCTCCCCACCCTTCTTCTATAAACAGGATGAGTGGACTGGCCTTCCACCTGTCTGGGTGGAGACAGTGGGAAGCTTTGCCAAGGTGAGGAACCAAGGTAAGGGAAGGCACGTTTTCTGGAGGCTCTGTGCCTTGTGAGCCCTTCTAATGGGCTCTAGAAATTTCCTGGGGAAGCTCAATCTTTGTGATCACACAGCTTAAGCACACTTCTCCTGCGCATCTGGGGACCCTGGGGCCAACTTGGAGGAGCTGGGAAGACATGTGGGGTACATGCTGGCTAAGCCTGGGTTTACTTTTTCTTCCCTGGAGATTTGTCTCCTCCCGCTCCCCCTTGTTCTTCCCCAAGACACAGGGGAGAGCTGGGAACAAGCAAGGAAAAGCAAGCCCCAGACACCAAGGCGGTGGGCAGGGCCGCCAGATGAAATGAGGCGGCGTCCCTTTAAGCAGTCGCTCACTCGCTTGGGCCCTGCCAGCCAGACCCCTCGGCCAGCCTAATTTGGCTGCAGTTCCCTCAGTCACATTGCTCCCGTGTCTGGGCTGGAGCTGTGCTGGTGGGTGCAGTCAGCTTCCCATGCTGAGCCTGGGCCTGGAAAATGTCAGCCCGTGACCTACTGCACATAAACAGCCAGCCGCTCCTGGGCCGAGGACAGTTTTCCACTCACCTTGCTCCAGATTTCCAGGGCCTGTGTCTGTGTGTGTTTATGTCTCAGCCTTGTGAGTGAAGTCTCCTTCCTGAGAAAGCCTGTCCCTGGGGGCCAGAACCTGCGACCACCTACTCCCCGCAAGATGAGGGGCTGGACAGTCACACCTGAGCCCTTCAGAACATTCCAACCCTTTTTAAGGAGGCAGCCAGGATCTGTCCCCTTGGGCTAGATCAGTGCTGGGTGGGGGCCAATACTATGGGCCCAGTGATGATGTGATTCAAAGGGTGGTAGAATCGTCCTGCCCAAATACATTTGCCCTCCCCTACGTTGCTTAGATTTCTACCAAAATGTGACTCCGATTACAGTTACAGTAACAGTACAGTTACAGTAACAGTACAGTTACAGTAACAGTAATGACGATGCTTCTTGTTTGAATTGTGCTTTCCAGGTTTCATTAGCTCTTTCAGTCTCCATGTCAGCTTCACAGTAGGTGGGCCAGGAATTGTTTCTACTCTTTCACAGATGGGGGCACGGGGAGGATCAAGGAGAGGAAGCAAGGAGGCTCGGACTGGAATCAGTTGGCCTCAGTCTGTCACTGTTGCCGTCAAGGAGAACAAATGACTCCTTCCTTGAACTTAGTTTCCTGATTTAAATGTATTTTGTAATTTATGAAAGTCTGTTCAGTTAAATATGACATAGTTAAAGGCAGACCTTTATGTACTGATATGAAGGGTCTCCAAGATAAGGTGCTAAGTACAAAGAGTAACATGTGGAATATGGGTGCAACCTACTGCTATTTGAGTTTTTTGAAAAATGGCCATATATCCACACGCATGTTTGACTGTTTGTGCATCACCATCACTAGGGGGATATACAGAGCATGCTGTCGGCAGGGGTGGAGGGTGGCAGGAGGGAGCAAGTCAGGGGTAGGTGGGAAGTTGACTTTCTATTTCTTTGTACCTTTTAATTTTCTGCCGTGTATAAACAAAATTTTTAAATGAGAATATCTTACGTTGGAAGTCTTAAGGTTTTCTTTTGGAGCAGATGGGATGATGTAAGTGATATAAGACACTTTATGTGCATAAAGGGATTATTATTATTATATCTAAGGGGGTTCCTTAGAAACTATTACCACTATTAGACTTGACAACATTGTGTATTGGACAAATTATGGGTTTAGGAATTGAGTAGACATGAGTTAAATTTGCCCTCTGGTTTTCTCATTTAAAAAGTTAGGGGAGGGCTTCCCTGGTGGCGCAGTGGTTGAGAGTCCGCCTGCTGATGCAGGGGACACGGGTTCGTGCCCCGGTCTGGGAAGATCCCACATACTGCGGAGCGGCTGGGCCCGTGAGCCATGGCCGCTGAGCCTGTGCGTCTGGAGCCTGTGCTCTGCAGCGGGAGAGGCCACAACAGTGAGAGGCCCGCGTACCGCAAAAAAAAAAAAAGTTAGGGGAGAGACGGGGAATCACATGAGTTATGAGAAATAAAATGCGAATGTGAAAAACCAGGTGCAACATACAGCATGCCGTTCTCCCTTCCCATGACCTGTGCCAGCCAGACTCCGGGGAAATGCAAAACTGTTCTGTGTTTCAGGTAAGTTTTGATATCAAAGAAGGTCTTAGGGCAGTACTACCCAAAAGAAATATAATGCAAGTCACCTAATGTAATTTTAGGTTTAAAAAAACTACAAAGAAACAGGTGACATTAATCTTAATAATATATTTTAATTAACCTGCATTTAATTGAATTAATATTAAATCAAATTTAATATTAATATATTAATATAATTAATATTAATATAATTTAATTAAAATAATATACTTCAATTAACCTGCATCTGCATTTAATTAATTTAATATATACTTAATATATTTAATTAATTTAATTAATAATTACATATATTGAAATGTAATTTTTGCATGTAATCAATATACAATTATTCCTGGGATATTTTACATTTATTTTCCGAGTGAGTCTTTGAAATCCACATGTAATTTACACTTACTGCACATCTCCATTCCGACCAGCCCCATCTCGGGTGATCAACATTAGCCCACATGGGTCTGACAGCTGCCTTTTGGAGACAGCAGATGGAGGGTGTGGGCTCTTTGCCAGAGATGACTGGACAGGAGGCTCTAGATTACCCAGGGGTGTGGGGCTGGAGGACGGTGATGGAAGTGAAACCAGGGTTGCCCAGTCCAGGCTGTGATGAGGTAACAGAAGCACAGAACATGCTTGAGTAAATAAATAGGGAGCTTTACCGTTTGCCCTGTGAGGCTGTCCTCCCATCACCCCAAGAAAGGTCAAGTACTTTCACTGTAGCAAACTGGAAAGGGAAGTGGACAGGAGGCGAGGACGGGGACAGGGAAAGCGCTGGGCACTGTCTCTTTGTGTGATTGCCCGTTGTCTGCTCCCCTGGCCTCTCGTCCCTGCTCCTTAGTCTTTGTCGTGAGCTCTTCGTCTGCCCGAGCCCTTAATATTGGTGCTCCTCTGGTCTGTTCTGAGCCTCTGTTTCCCCCCACACTACACATCACTCTCCTCCCATGGTGCCAGGTCCTTCCATGGGCTCGCTCTCCAGCCTTGAGAGCTCCCCTGAGCTTGAGCCACCTGCATCGAGTCCAGAGTCTCCTTAGCATCTCTGCTTGGGTCTCCTATCTCCTTCCTTCCCACCTTGCCACGTGCCCTCATTCAGTTCCCTTACTCAGAAACCTGAGAACACAATGTGGCTCCTTTCCTTCTCCCTACTTCCAAATCACCACCACACCTTGTCAGTTCTGTCTCCCAAATACCTATTGACTGTCAAGAGATACATCTCACTGAATTACTGTAAAGCATCCGACTTTGTTCTTCTCTATCTGCCCTCCATCCCAAAGGCAGCATATCTTTCGAAAGCTTACATTCTAAAACGCCTCCACCTCTCACCAGTGTCCCTGGATGAAGTCTGTGTGTGTCCTCAGCCTACCTCTGGGAATCTCATCTCTCTCCACTTCCACCCTTGCCCTCTGTGGTGGGTTGAATCATGACCCCCAAATTCCCATCCCAGGGAACCTCAGCGTGTGACTTTATTTGGAGCTAGGGTCTTTGCAAATGTAATTAAAGATGGAGATGAGCTCATTCTGGGTTAGGTGGGCCCTAAATCCAATGATGTGTCCTCATGGGAAGAAGAGACACAGAGAGAAGAGGCAGAGATTGGAGTCATGTAGCTACAGACATCAAGGATTGCCAGGACCCCACAGAAGCTAGGAAGAAGCAAGGAAGGCTTCTCCCCGAGAGCCTTCAGAGGGGAGTTTGGCTCTGATGATACCTTGATTTGGACTTATAGCTGGCAGAACTGTGAGAGGATAAATTTCTGTCATTTTATTTTATTTTATTTTTTTGCTTTACAATGGTATGTTAGTTTCAGCTTCACAACAAAATGAATCAGTTATACATATACATATGTTCCCATATCTCTTCCCGCTTGCGTCTCCCTCCCTCCCACCCTCCCTATCCCACCCCTCCAGGCGGTCACAAAGCACCGAGCTGATCTCCCTGTGCTATGCGGCTGCTTCCCACTAGCTATCTACCTTACGTTTGGCAGTGTATATATGTCCATGCCTCTCTCTCGCTTTGTCACCGTTTACCCTTCCCCCTCCCCATAGCCTCAAGTCCATTCTCTAGTAAGTCTGTGTCTTTATTCCTGTTTCACCCCTAGGTTTTTCATGACATTTTTTTTTTCTTAAATTCCATATATATGTGTTAGCATACGGTATTTGTCTCTCTCTTTCTGACTTACTTCACTCTGTATGACAGACTCTAGGTCTGTCCACCTCATTACAAATAGCTCAATTTCGTCTCTCTTTATGGCTGAGTAATATTCCATTGTATATATGTGCCACATCTTCTTTATCCATTCATCCGATGATGGACACTTAGGTTGTTTCCATCTCTGGGCTATTGTAAATAGAGCTGCAATGAACATTTTGGTACATGACTCTTTTTGAAGGACTTCCGGGAAGATGGCGGAAGAGTAAGACGCGGAGATCACCTTCCTCCCCACAGATACACCAGAAATACATCTACGCGTGGAACAACTCCTACGGAGCACCTACTGAACGCTGGCAGAAGACCTCAGACCTCCCAAAAGGCAAGGAACCCCCCACGTACCTGGTTAGGGCAAAAGAAAAAACTAAACAGAGACAAAAGGATAGGGACGGGTCCTGCACCAGCGGGAGAGAGCTGTGAAGGAGGAAAAGTGTCCACACACTAGGAAGCCCCTTCGCGGGTGGAGACTTCGGGAGGCGGAG